AAGATAAATAAGGTGCTCAGTATGTAGGTTTCTAAATTAATTCTAGGATTGGTGCTATATAAAAGCAAGGATCATTCCAGAAAACAGAAACAAAAACCTTAGTTAGCCAGCTTCACATTTTCAGTAATCTTGGCTATTTGAACTGTGCTTAAGGACAAAGAAATCAGCAAAGAAAGGACATCCACTAAAGCTCGAGGGCTTTATGAATTGGAGGGCCTCATAGATGCTCACTTCAAGCCTAGGAACTCTTAGTTTAGAAATATTTGTAACTGATTTTGATTGTCCTGCAGACTGGGGACAGCAGGAGCCAGTGAGCAGACCCGTGAGCAGCGGTGAGCTCTGAGTTCGGACAGCATGAGCCCCCCTTTGCCCCCAGCTGTGTGAAGAAGGGCAAGCCAGTTTCCTTCTCTTAGACTGTGTTCTCATCTGTAAGTGGAGGATAATAATGGTCCCTCTTTCATAGGGGACTTGTAAAGATTAAATGAAGAAATATTCCTGAAGTGCTTAGCATAGGGCCAGTAGCTGCCTTAAAATAACTATTAATGGTAGTATTATTTTTACTATTATCACAGTCAGGAGCAGATTCGGGGCTATGAATTAGAATGCTAAAGGCAGTTTTTGTAAGTTACAGCCTAACAGGGAGAGAGAGGGGCAAGAAATTCATAAAATATGTAAGCATAAAATTTAAAGATAATACATTCAGTGTCAGTGTAAAACAAAACAGCTCGATGCACTTCACAAGCACTTGGAGGCATTATGTTGTACCATGGTGAAGGGCAATCATTATATAATTAGTAATACCCTGAGTCATTGAGATAATGTTCAGCACACTTTGTTTTCAAAGGCAGGGAAGAGGCAGCACACTCCATTTTAGAAGGCATATTTTAGCTAATACGAAGTTTTTGTGCAGGCCCTTGTGTGGAACAGATTGTAAACCAATAATAGCAAATAAATGAAACCCGCTGATTTGAAAATTTCCAGGGGTTTACCCCAAAGATAACTTGAAAAATTATTTATGTGTGGAATATGATTATTTTTGGAGAAAAGCATTTAGAGTATATCATAATCTCCTCACATATAAGCCAATGAAGTGGTCTCATGTTTTAAATATGCCAGGTGCAGAACCTTCCAAACTGCACAGTGGGTTTCCAATTGGAAAGAATTAATGGAAGCATGAGGTGAATAAACTCCGGGACAGAACTGGCTAGAGGGAATATGTTTTTAAGCATAATAGCCACACACATACACACCCTGTCACATGACATTTATCTCAGGAGAGCATATTTTCAAACCACAAATTAGCACCTATCAGATGTCCCAAAAGGGGTAATGGGATAGAATATTTACAACATGGAACTTTCTTGGACCCGCCAAGCCTTTCCACGTCTTCACCTGGGTATGACTTGTTCCCACTATCTAAGCAGATCTTGGGCTTCTGAGGACCAAAAATGGTCTGTCCAACTTGGGTTCTTGGCTGCATTTCTTGCTCTCAGTTTATTCCAATAATTCCTTTCTGATTCCTGTGCAGGTCACCTGTTGGGCTCTGTCAACCACAACAATCACAGGTTGGTTCATTGGTGGGTGGTAGGGACAGGTCTTACTCCTCTTTGAATCCTCAGCTCCTAGCATAGAATTTGGTCCACAACAGGCACTAAATAAATGTTTGGTGAATGAGATTGAATTAGCACGGTGAGAATTAGCGGTGCTCCCTCACTTTCTGAGCCACCTGGGTTAATACTTCCCGGAGTGCTTCAGCCCAGACGGCCTTATCCTCTGCCCCTGGGGGGGCCAGGCTGGCTGCCTTCTTCCTCCTGTGGATGCCGGGCTTGGTGTTGGGGAGTGCCCAGCAGGCCCTGCTTGAAGGCCACAGATCTGGCGGAGCACATGTGGATCACCCTGAAGCAGCATTTTCCCAAGGCTTGGCTCTGCTAACTATTCCTGCCCTCCTGGTGTCAAAACCTTGGACTAGAAAATGAAATAAAGGGAGCCGTATGGAAGGGCAGAGGGGAAGGAAAGGAGTTAATAAGCAGAACAAGGTCACCCATCTGCTGCTGCTGTCCACACTCCTTATCTGTGACGCCACCAGCCCCAAGGTCTCCTCTCTTCATTAAAACTGTTGAATCTCCTAAAATGATAAAATTAACTGAATTCCGGCCTTCTGTCTTAGACATAACAGAGCATGTCTTGATGTTGAGCTGCCCTGATGGGCTGAGCCTTTTCTCCTCCCTGCAGCCCTGAAGTAGGAGAGGAAAGCAACTGCTGGTGGGGAGGCTAGTGGGACAGGCTGGCACCAGGTGGCCTGCACGTCTTGGCAGGACTGGTGGCAGTTTTCCCACCTTGGCAGGCAGACGTTCATGCCTGCAGGTTTCGGGAGGAAAGCCAAGTGTTGCCCCGGCCTCCGCGGACCGCTGGGCAGCTCTTTCTAGTATCCCAGTGTTCTTTTCAGGTCAAGGGCTTGAGATTCAGAAAAACAACAACCAAAAGCCTGAACTCTGGAAAGACACCTAGCACACAGCTGTGACCAGTGGGTGCCCTAGAGGAAGCCAGTGTGGCTGGAGAGGAGCAGATGGCAGTGGGTGGGGGAGACCAGGGTGAGGCAGGTTCAGGCCTTTGAAAGGCCTCTGGCTTTTGTCTGTATGAGCTGGGGGCCACAGAAAGGTTTCGAGCAGAGAAGTGACAGGATTTGACTTAACTTGTGCATGAGTGCTCTGACTCTCTTGGAAAACAGACTGAGGGGGGCAGGGGTGGGAGTGGGGTGCTACCTGGGAGGCCACACCATGACGCAGGAGGTGAGGCTGGCTTGCATGTGGTAAGAAGGTGAGCGTGGATGTGGTAAGAAGGCACCTGGTTCTGGACGTATTTTGAGGGGTAGTGCTGACAGGATTTTCCGATGGATCAGTTGTGGTGTATAAGAGAAAGAGAGGAGTCTGGAATGAATGCAAGGGCTTGGCCTGAGAAGCTGGAAGAGTGGGCTAGCCATCTGCTGAGAAGGCAAAGACATAAAATCACCTCCTGTACCAAGTCTGCGGCCCCTTCCGGCTCTACGGCAGCCACACTCACGGAGGCACGGAAGGGAAGGAGGCTGCCTTTGGTACCTGGTGTGGGACTCACACTTGGTCAGCAAGTGATGTAGAAGTAATGGAGAAGAGTGAAAAAAGAAAAGAAAAGGAGAGCAAATATTTGCCTAATAGTATCTAAGCAGATCTTGGGCGTCTGATGGCTAAGTGGTCCTATAGTTTGGGACAATAGGTCAAGAAAATATTGGGGTCAGCATGCACATGCATGATTCTTGTGGATTCTCATTTTGGTGTTTGGTTTGTCTCTTAACTTCATTTTAAAAGTTATAAAGCTGTCCTAGTAATGCCTACTCACAGGAGCATTTCACAGAGATGTTGCAAAGATAAATAAGGTGCTCAGTATGTAGGTTTCTAAATTAATTCTAGGATTGGTGCTATATAAAAGCAAGGATCATTCCAGAAAACAGAAACAAAAACCTTAGTTAGCCAGCTTCACATTTTCAGTAATCTTGGCTATTTGAACTGTGCTTAAGGACAAAGAAATCAGCAAAGAAAGGACATCCACTAAAGCTCGAGGGCTTTATGAATTGGAGGGCCTCATAGATGCTCACTTCAAGCCTAGGAACTCTTAGTTTAGAAATATTTGTAACTGATTTTGATTGTCCTGCAGACTGGGGACAGCAGGAGCCAGTGAGCAGACCCGTGAGCAGCGGTGAGCTCTGAGTTCGGACAGCATGAGCCCCCCTTTGCCCCCAGCTGTGTGAAGAAGGGCAAGCCAGTTTTTGGAACTTTCTTGGACCCGCCAAGCCTTTCCACGTCTTCACCTGGGTATGACTTGTTCCCACTATCTAAGCAGATCTTGGGCTTCTGAGGACCAAAAATGGTCTGTCCAACTTGGGTTCTTGGCTGCATTTCTTGCTCTCAGTTTATTCCAATAATTCCTTTCTGATTCCTGTGCAGGTCACCTGTTGGGCTCTGTCAACCACAACAATCACAGGTTGGTTCATTGGTGGGTGGTAGGGACAGGTCTTACTCCTCTTTGAATCCTCAGCTCCTAGCATAGAATTTGGTCCACAACAGGCACTAAATAAATGTTTGGTGAATGAGATTGAATTAGCACGGTGAGAATTAGCGGTGCTCCCTCACTTTCTGAGCCACCTGGGTTAATACTTCCCGGAGTGCTTCAGCCCAGACGGCCTTATCCTCTGCCCCTGGGGGGGGCCAGGCTGGCTGCCTTCTTCCTCCTGTGGATGCCGGGCTTGGTGTTGGGGAGTGCCCAGCAGGCCCTGCTTGAAGGCCACAGATCTGGCGGAGCACATGTGGATCACCCTGAAGCAGCATTTTCCCAAGGCTTGGCTCTGCTAACTATTCCTGCCCTCCTGGTGTCAAAACCTTGGACTAGAAAATGAAATAAAGGGAGCCGTATGGAAGGGCAGAGGGGAAGGAAAGGAGTTAATAAGCAGAACAAGGTCACCCATCTGCTGCTGCTGTCCACACTCCTTATCTGTGACGCCACCAGCCCCAAGGTCTCCTCTCTTCATTAAAACTGTTGAATCTCCTAAAATGATAAAATTAACTGAATTCCAGCCTTCTGTCTTAGACATAACAGAGCATGTCTTGATGTTGAGCTGCCCTGATGGGCTGAGCCTTTTCTCCTCCCTGCAGCCCTGAAGTAGGAGAGGAAAGCAACTGCTGGTGGGGAGGCTAGTGGGACAGGCTGGCACCAGGTGGCCTGCACGTCTTGGCAGGACTGGTGGCAGTTTTCCCACCTTGGCAGGCAGACGTTCATGCCTGCAGGTTCTGTTTCCTGGGCAGGTGAGAGACAGACCTCCTGCCTCTGACAGGGCTGTGACAATACGTCATCACTCCACGCCTCTGCAGGGGAGAGGGGATGAGCTGGCAGGCTGCTCAAAGCGAAGGAGCCAGATGCTCTGGGCAGTGGCCCCCCGCACGGTCAGTGTATGGGAGCTGACACAGAGAAATGTGCGAGTGAACTCTGCGCTGGAAAAGGTGCTGGAATGGGAGCACAAGGTCTGGTAAAAAACAGGAGTTGTGTGATCCTGGCCAAGTCAAGGAGTCAATTTCTCCAACTGTGAAATAGGAATAGTGACCTCTGTGTCCTAGGATTAAAAGAAACAGTATTTAAAGGTTCTAGTACCCACTTGACATACTGTGGGGCTCAATTACTGTTTGGTTGTTCAGTCATTCCTAAACAAACCCATTAAATTAATATTAATGCAACCGCCAAAAACTAAACAAAGAAACAAAATGAAAAGTAAAAATAGGGACAAGGCTGACATAGAAATTTCCTCATATTTTTAAAAACACAGATGCATAATAAGAGCTGTTGTGCACATTCCACCCCTGCCCCCAGTTTTATTGAAATATAATTGACATACGACACCATACAAGTTTAAGGAGTGCAATGTGATGACTTGATATATGTATATATATAGTGAAATGATTATCACAGAAAAGTTAGTTAACACATCCATCAGCTCACGTAATTATTTTTTTTTTTTGTGACTTTTAAGGTCTACTCTCTTAGAAACTTTGCAGTATATAGTGCAGTATTCTTAGCTATAGTCACTGTGCTATGCTTTATGTCTCCAAGACATACTCAGCTTATAACTCAAAGTTTCTACCTTTTGATCAACATCTTTCCATTCCTCCACGCCTTAGTCCCCAGTAAGCATCATTCTACTGTGTTTCTATGAGTTCCACATTTTTAGATTTCACACGTGAGATCACACATCTGTATGACTGTAAGATTATCTGTATGACTTATTTCACTTAGGATCTGTATGACTATAAGATCATCTGTATGACTTATTTCACTTAGGATAATTTCCTGAAGTTCCATCTATGTTGTCACAAAAGGCAGGGTTTAATCAGCCATAAAAAAGAAGGAAATCCACTTTTTAACCTAATGAAGTTTCTTAGAGATCATGTTAAACCATAACCTATAGATCTGCCTCACTTTAAAAAAAAGACTGCCAGGACATAGCCAAAGATTACATGCTTACATGTACATGGTTACATGGTACATAAACATACCATTCCTCTAAGATTGCATGCACTTGATTGACAATTGCATGTAATCTTTGGCTATGTCTGACCTTGTGATCATGAATATCATGTTCATACTTCTTGGAGCACATGTGTCAGCATACCTGTGGCCTTACAGTTTCCAACATTTTAATTAGCAACTTGGGTGAAAATGTAGAAGGCACAGTTTTCAATTTTGCTGAAATGGGGAGCTAGCACAATTGGTAGATAGAATTCCATGTCAGTTTCCGTGAGACCATCATTTATACACTTGACCCTTGAACTGCACAGGTCCACTTATATGTGAATTTTTTTCAATAAATACTTGGAAAAATTTTTGGAGATTTGCAGATATTTGAAAAAAACATGTTTTCTCTAGCTTACTCTATTTTAAGAATACAGTATATAATACATATACCATACAAAATGTATGTTAACCAAGTTGTTATACTATTGGCCAACAATAGGCTATTGGTAGTTAAGTTTTTAGGGAGTCAAAAATTGTGCACAGAATTTTGGCACCCCTAACCCCTGCATTGTTCAAGGTCAACTGTATATATATTTTTATGTATTGAGTACCTACTATGTGCCAGATACTGTTGCAGGTACGTGGGATCCATGAGTGAATAAAGCCTGGAGGTGCTAAGCCTGCAGGGAAAACAGAGAACAATAAACATAATAAATAAGGAAACTACATGGTTTGTCGGAAAGAGGCAAGTGTTGTGAAAATAAGGGAAAGGTAGACCAGGATAAGGGGGATCTAGAGCCTAGAGCAGGGGGCGATATTGGAGCTCTGTAAGTTTCCTAAGGTACTTCTGTGATTTGGAACATGGCACATAATAGCCAAGGACACATTTCAATTGGATTGAGCAGAATTCAAGTGAAGGAAGAGTTCTCTATCTGGTCGGTTTGGCAGGCTCACACTATCTTAGCTGCTTTCCTCTAGGAAACTCCAGGATGCCAACATTCCACTGAAAATGTATCACCCACAGAGCAGGACACGGCAGTTGCATTCTTGCAGATGGTGATTGCTAGTGTCCCATATTGAATTTACTGTTGTCTGAAACCCTAGGGGAGGTGTTTTCTGAAATAGCTATTAAGCCAAGTTATCCTTACTCTATTCCACGTAAGCTTGTATTTTGCAGCCTTAATCCAGAACACTTGAAAGTCTTTTTCCCTTATAGTTTCCATTTTCAGTTGAATTCCTTGTTTTTGCTCTGTTGAGATGCTGAATTTCAATGCTGAGTAAACAGAATTGTTGGCTGCATGGGGGGCATTTTTTCCCCCAAACTGAGGAGTCTGGACTTTATTCTGAGAGCAACAGGGAACCATTGAAAGGCTTTGAGCAGGGAGTAATAAGGGCAGATTTGCTTTCTAGAAATGTCTACCCAGGAGCAAGGAGGAGGGTTGGTTAGAGGGATGCCAGGCGCCAGGGAAGGAAGCCAGGCTCACTGTTGAGAGGTAAGGGGTGAGGCCTCAGTCTAGGCAGCAACAGTGAGGGTGCAGAGAGGCAGGGGGGCAGAGGACATTCAGGGAATTTGAGGAAATGGGTGCGGGGCTGCAGAGGCTGCACCCCGGCCCAACCCAGGAGTGACTGGATGGAGCCTTTTCTTAAAATTAAGCAAATGGCAGGGGAAGCCCGTTTTGGGAGAGGTTGGTGAGCCTGGCTTTGGTGACAGAGCAGATCCAGGGAAACTATCTAGGGGGCCCAGGAGATGGGGCCTGCCTGGGGCTCAGATGGGGAAGTTATCAGCTTCCTGGGTGAAACAGGAAGGTTACACGCACAGGAGGAGGATACCTTCCCCTATCTCAAAGGCTGCCCTGTGGGAGAGACCTTAAACCTGCCGTGTACAGTAAGCTGGAACTAAGAAAGTGGTAGGGATGTGGCCCTTAGGCCAACGGCAGCAGAACTTTCTACTAGGCCAGTTACAGTCCTATTTCAGGACATGGCTGACCACCTGGCTCTGTGGACCAGAGGTGACAAGATTGGTCATTGCTTGCAAGGAGCCCATAATTTTGTAGGGCCTTCTGCAAGTGAAATGACCACTAGTTGGACTGTGTGTCCATTAGGAGCCCGGAAAAAAACAAAGATGGGCATGAACTAGAAAGAAAAAAATAGTGACTCCCATTTGGTTAGGTAATGAAGAACTAGCCCCCCAGATCTGTGGGCTGGGAGGGGTGGGGGATGGGCTAGCTGAGCCAAGGCTCTGAGACGACCCAAAGGCGGGGATGGGTGCACCTGCAGGTCAGGTTATGGCCCTGGTGGGGCGGGCCACACCTCTGCTTGGACTCCTCTACAGGCTTCTCATCTCACTTCAGTGGAATGCAGGCCCCATGTGGTCTGTCCCCATGGCCCGTGCAGTGCCAGCTGTACATTCTTCCTAGATGTTCCTCAGGCAGCCAAGCACCCTTCTGCCCAAGGCCTTTGCAGCTGCTCTTGCTGATGCCTGAATGCTCTTCCTACAGATTTACATATGTCTTACTCATCCTTTTTGGATCTCCACTTAAATATCACCTTCTCAGATGGGGAGTCCTGACTACCCCATGTAAAACAGCAGCTTCACCCCAGCACCAACTTTCCCCATGTCTCTGTGTAGTTTGTCTTCATAGCACTTACCATCACCTTGCATATCATGGTATTTATGTGATTATATTGTCTTTCTGCCCCACCTAGAACATCATTTCTATGAGAGCAAGGGTTTTATCTGTTTTGCTCACTGTGGTATTTCTAGCACCTAGAACTGCATATGGCATGAAGGAAGCACCCCATAAATATTTGTCGAAGGAATGAATGGGTAAAGAAATGAAGGAACAAACTTGCGGTTCACACTGAGGGGTCATAGAAGGTCAGGCTGCATAAGGGTGGTGTCCTGAGTATGGAAACTCTTGGTCTGGATGGAAGTCTGAATAAATATGGTCCAAAAGTGCAGCCTCTTTGTTTCTTTTCCTTAGAGGAACAAAATGGAAATTGTGTTTTAGGAGGAGAAATCCATCAAGAAAAAGAAAGCACTCTCCAAGGAGAACAGGACTGTTACTTCCCTCAGTTTTGGAGAGCTAATACATTGACCATTTCTATTACTTCAGTAAATTTTCTTACAATCAGCAGCCTAGATCCAGTTACAGCTCTTTCTAAGGGCCTGTTGTGCTCCAAAGCCCACTGCATTTTGTGGGAGGCTCCCAAGACAGAGGAGCGGTGTAAACCTTCAGCAAACTGTGGACAACCATGGACCTTTCAGTTGCCTGTTAAAGCAATGAATATATACTTGCATTTGCAAGTTTGTCATTGAAGCAAAGCAAACGTGTGTTAAAAGGATTTTATTATCTCACAAAGCAACAAATGGAGCATAAATCAATATCGCAGTTTGGAGGAATAAGGATGAACTTGGAAGTTCTGCCTTCCAAGTTTGCAGTGGTTAAGAGCATAAACTCTGAAGCTAGACAGCGAGGGTTTAAATTGAAGCTCTATTGGTATAGCTGTGTGGCCTGAGTACTTAACCTCTCTGACTCAGTTTACTTATCTGAAAAATGGGGATAATAATAGTACTTCTCTCTTAGAGTTCTTGTAAGGATTAAAGAAACACAGGTGAAGTGTCCAAAAGTGCAGCCTCTTTGTTTCTTTTCCTTAGAGGAACAAAATGGAAATTGTGTTTTAGGAGGAGAAATCCATCAAGAAAAAGAAAGCACTCTCCAAGGAGAACAGGACTGTTACTTCCCTCAGTTTTGGAGAGCTAATACATTGACCATTTCTATTACTTCAGTAAATTTTCTTACAATCAGCAGCCTAGATCCAGTTACAGCTCTTTCTAAGGGCCTGTTGTGCTCCAAAGCCCACTGCATTTTGTGGGAGGCTCCCAAGACAGAGGAGCGGTGTAAACCTTCAGCAAACTGTGGACAACCATGGACCTTTCAGTTGCCTGTTAAAGCAATGAATATATACTTGCATTTGCAAGTTTGTCATTGAAGCAAAGCAAACGTGTGTTAAAAGGATTTTATTATCTCACAAAGCAACAAATGGAGCATAAATCAATATCGCAGTTTGGAGGAATAAGGATGAACTTGGAAGTTCTGCCTTCCAAGTTTGCAGTGGTTAAGAGCATAAACTCTGAAGCTAGACAGCGAGGGTTTAAATTGAAGCTCTATTGGTATAGCTGTGTGGCCTGAGTACTTAACCTCTCTGACTCAGTTTACTTATCTGAAAAATGGGGATAATAATAGTACTTCTCTCTTAGAGTTCTTGTAAGGATTAAAGAAACACAGGTGAAGCACTTGAGTGATGCCCAGCAGACACTAAGAGCTGTATAATGTCAACTACTTTTACAGCTTGACTTGGGGGAATTTGAGTCCTGGCTTCATTGTCTGGACTTAGATTATTCTACCTCACAGTTGAGTTTCAGTTTCTGCATCTGTCAAATAGTAAAAATAATCTTACAAGGATTGATGTAGAATTTAAATGAAGTTTCTTGTTTCAGTGTGTGGGCACATAACATATATTAGATAGAAGTGTATCGAATGAATGACATGCTTGAATCACTATCTATAGCGGATCTGGAGTGGGTGAGCCTTCAAGGAATGTAAACAATGGAGTGATTGGAGTAGACAGGTTAAATTGGAGTGTTTGCTAAGAGTGAACATTCTGAGTCAGGTTTCCAGGGAGAAATGACTTTCAGGTCAGCAGAAAGAAGGGAAAAGGCATTCTAAGTAAGTGAAATAACACATGGAAAATCTCCAAGAAAATTGTATTTACTTGCTAGAAGGAGAATGAAAAATAGAGTTGATGAGAAGGGAAGCCCAGTTTTGCAACACTGTGAAGGTCAAGAATTCTCTTTTGTACCTTTTAAAATCCCCAGATGAATATTTTCAGGGGTGTGATTTGTCTCTTGTCCTAGCCAATTAGATCACAAAATGACTCTGTCCCCAGCACATACCATTTATGGTCGGGAAGGTAGACCTCTGAGATGGTTAGGTTAATTCTTGTATCACTTTGCAAAGTTTACTTAGAATTTTCAGAAATATTCTTTGTGGTAAGGAAAACCACCTTAGAACTGTGGACAGACTTCCTGTGATTCTGAGAATATGTTTTCATGTAGGTCAAAATTCCATGAGAAATGCCAAATGTAAGGTAGGCAACGAGGACTTTCGCAGCAGCAGTGATGTTACCAGGGAAGGCTGGAATGCCTTTTAAAAGCACCGCCAGAGTCCATCAGCACAAACATGGTGCTTTTCCGGGAGGGTGAGACCCAACGCTGTCAGCTTTGTGACTATCCATGGGGAGGTGGTAACAGTGAGGGTCGCGGTCCGAGCATGGAAGAGTCTTCCTCCTCAGACTGAACTGAACAGCCACACGCTCTGCACTCCTGCCTTGCGCTTCTCCACTTCACCAAGATGCCGGCAGGGCCAGGGGAGGTGTCCGCCAGCATCTCCCCAAATTTGTTCCTGTAGTGGCTTACCTTGTGGGTCCCATGGCCTGTCAAGAACAGAGGATCCTGTGGGATCTCTAGGTACACACACAGACTTTGCCAGTATGCCTGCTGGGCACAGACCGGGGGCCCATCTGTTTGCCTCACTTAAAGACACATGCTGTTGTGACAACTGTTTCCTCTGAGGTGCATTGGTCATGTTTGTGCAATGGATTGCAAATTTTTTGACAACAGGCATGAGGTCTTAAATCATGGTATTCTCCCTGGCCTTAATACAGTTTCTGGCATGTTCTAGAAGCTTATTAAACATTTGTTGAATTGAATCCCCATCTTAGCTACAGGGACAACTAGCTAGTTTCTTGTTAAGAGAAGAAACTGGGCTTTTTTTTTCCTCAAATGAAATTAATATGCCTCAAAGGGAGGAAAATACAGGTCTGCAGTCAAAAACAACATGCCTTAGGTGGGGGCCCACACAACAATAATCCTTTTGCTTCTGCCCTTCAGATGCAGGCTACCTATGAGGAAATACAAGGTGATCTTTAGATTTTTTTTTCTTTGGCCCCAACCCTGAGCTATGGCACTTGGATAATCCTGCTTTCCGGAGAGCAGACTACTGGAATGATAACCCAGGAAGTAACTTGCCCTTTGAAAAGCAAGGAAGAAACCAATCGACTAAGTATTTATTTATATTTAATGCTCCAGGGCTTCTGTTTCCAGCTTTGAAGAGTTCCTGGCAAATGCTTCTTAACATCATTAATCCTAGGGGCAAATCTAAACGTCTTGCAGGCCCCCGGAGCCTGGCACACTGTGTTTATAACCTGTGGGCTTTCCAGAAAGACAGGGAAGTGGGGAGGGAGGGCTGGTGGCAGTGGATAAGGGAATGAGGAGCAGCGATTCTCCAGAATCGATTGAACCCCCATCTTAGCTACAGGGTTTGGGATTTGACTTGGTTTGGGATGGGGGCGACTGGCTCACATCTCTTTGTCTTCAAGTTGGCACCAACCCATTGACTCTCAAGTCCTGTCTTCCTCCAGCTCACGTCTGGAGGTCCCTGCTGAGTGACGTCAGCTCTGGCTCACCCCAGGGTGACTGGCTCCAAAAGTACCTACATTTTTTTTTTTTGAAATGTGCAAGCAATCTTTGTCCATGGTAGAAATTTCAAATAAGCAAAAAGTAATCCTACATGGTAAGAGAACCATGTACCCTGTGTTTTATTTATATATATGAACAAAAAATTTTCTTCTATGCATACCATTTTATAGTCTATTTTCCTCACTTGAATATTTTCATTAATCATGGGTGTATGCCTAGGAGAACTGCTTGGTCATATGGTAAATGTATGCTTAACTGTGTAAGAAATTGACAGCCTTCTTCAAAGTGGCTGTGCTGTTTTGCATTTCCACCTTTAACATATGGGAGTTCCAGTTGTTTTGCATACTCATCAGCACCTGATTTTGGTAATTTTCTTTTTCTTCTTTTTCTTTCTTTTTGGTTGAGCCATTTGAATAGGCAGGCAGTGCTAGCTTACCTTGATTTTAATTTGCATTTCCCTAATGACTACTAGTGTTGAACATATTTTAATATGCTCATTTGCCATCCACTTATCTTCTCTGATGAAGTGTATGTTCAAAAATTTTCCCCATTTTTAAATGAGGTGGTTTTCCCATCAAATTGTGAGAGTCTTTTATATATTTTGGATACCAATCCTTTATCAACTATATCTTTTGCAAGTACTGTCTCCCAGTCTGCGTCTTTTAATTTTCTTGACCACATTTTTGGAAGAGAAGACATTTTAGATTTTGAAAAAGTCTAAATTATGAACTTTAAAAGAAATGGCATATGCTTTTTGTGTCCTACCATAAAGTTTTTTGACTACCTCAGGATCATAAAGATTATCTCCTATGTTTTCTTTCAGAAGCTTTAGGTTTTATACTATGGTTAGTGATCCTTTTCAGATTAATTTTTGTATACATTGAAAGGCATGGATTGATTATTTTTTGTTTATGGGTATTCAATTGTTTCAATTCTACTTGTTGAAACATAAAGGTGTCTAATGATTTCTGCTACTTAATAAATCAGTAAAGAATGTGAATTATTTCGGTGGGGGATGAGGCATAGTGGTGGCTGCTGAAAGGCTGTAGCACCACAGAAGTTGTGCTGAGCTCTCATTGTCCTGTTGCTAAACAGTGTTACCTGAAGGCTGCAGAGAGTGGGGCGCCCACAGGGATTTTCCAGGGACTTGTTAAAGATAGTGCCTGAGATCAGGCAACAGCTGGGGTCCTGGAGGCCAGTGTGGGAGCCAGTGACCCGGGCCTGGAAACAGACATTTAGGGCTCACTCTTGTGAAAGCTAAGATTGGAAACATTCTGCGTGTCACAGCAGGAGCAGGGTGAGGTGGGTCTGCGGCCCTGCCTCTGATGTCCTGGAAACCTTGCTTGTAGGCATCCCCTGGAACCCTAGGGATGCAATTTCCATGCTCCCTAAAATCACATACAAATCTGCTTGTTCCTTCCTTCTTCAGATGAAGACTCCGAGACTGAGAGGGGCCCAGGCACTTGCTCAAGATCATTCATGGCCTGGCTTTGTTTCTGGCTGCCTCCCAGGCCCTGCATTACCGTGACTCTCAGCTCCTTAAATTCATTACCTTCAGTCCAAATGTCTTCTTCCTCCTGCCCTTCACTCCCCACTTCACAGTGCTTTTGTCTTGGGTCTCTTCCCTGGGTAATGTTTCTTCAGCCACCTGTTTCCCAAATGTGAAACCAGGGGACCCCTCCATTCACACCCATCCCCTTTACCTTTTGTACCAGATCAGTCACGAAGCTCAATCACGTCACCTGCCAAACACCTCCTAAACGTGTGCCTTCCTTTTTGTCCCCTCCTAGCAGCCCTTGGTTCAGAGTCAGCATCTATCATCTGGCCATTGGAGATGTCCTCCCTGTTTGCCTACCTTGTTTCCAATCTTCTTTAAGCTATTGCCTGCACAGCCACCAAAGTGATCTTTCCAGAATGTGGTCTTGATAATGTCATTCCTTAGCTTGAAACTCTTTTGTAGCTCTGCATTGCCTCCCTGATAAATATCAGACTCTTTGGCTTGGGCCCCCGGTCCCTGTGTAGCTTGGGCCACATGTCTCCTTGGCCCTTGTACTCAGCAATAAAGAGCTCTTATATATCTGCTTTTTCTCCTCTATGACGGTAATCTCCCAGTAAGGATTTGTTTACACACCTGTCTTCCTCACTAGACTGCAGAACGCTTGAGGGCAGGGACTGTGTTGTGCTTGCTGAGGCATGCCACTCAGGGCCTGGTGGGAACTCATCACAGGCATTTGCTTGATAAATACTTGTTTAATATCCACCGTCATGTGTCAAATTTACAGCAACCATTAGCATGTAATGTTGTCCCTTTTCCAGAATCTCTTAAAAATTTTAAACTGAAGGATAGGAGTGCTGCATTTTAGGACGGCGCTGAATACTGACCACCTAGGAGTTGTTTTCCTAAGTGAAGAATGGCTGTAAATTAAAATGCCTGCATCTGAAACTCTCTAGTGAGAATAATCCTGTTTCGTGCTCAAATGTCCAATTTGCTGTCTGGAAGTTGTGGCAGATCAAGTGACAAGGCTTTGCTGGGGTGTCTATCAGGCTGCTTTGGAAGGAGAATGAAGAGACAGATGGTGATGGAAAAACCTGTCCTGAACAGAATTTATTATCTTGCCACGGTCTCGCTGTGCCATCCGAGTTGTTCCCCCCGTACCCAGTCAGCCAAGGCATCGCGGGACTGCCATCTCCCCAAGGCTTTCTCCACTCATACCCAATGTTCTGCCCTCTCAGACTGTTTTCTTCTTCCTGATAGGTGGCCCCCACGCTAGAACAGTGCTTGGCACAAGCATGCCTGAATCATTATATAAATGTTAGTGTTAAAGCTACTTCCTCCCTCCCTCCAACCACCCACTTATCCATCTGTCCATCTACCCCGCCATTCATTCATTCAGCCACTCCCAGGCTGGTATCTGCTTTTCCTGATCTACTTCCTGCTGGTGTCACACATGCAGAATGGTCCTGGGGGCTGTGTCAGAGCTAAAGCCACCGCCTTGCTTGCCATCACTGCCCTCCCGTTCCTTCCTGAACAGCTCCTAGCCTTGTTTCTTTCCTCCCTTTTCCTTCTTTAGAAATCCTTGTCTTTCCATTTCCTCAGATTTCCCCTGGATGGGACTTTGGTGTGTTTGCAGAGGCGGCCTCTGGACACGAACACGGCCGACGATGTCCCTCCCCTGTGCGTGCAAGTCTGCGACTTCCACTTCAAGAAGGCCTCATGAGGGTATCTTCTTTTCAGCAATATCATCTCCCCCTTAAAAAATTAATACCAGTCATTTGAAGAGGAGGAAAGACTTGCGTAGGAGGGAAGTCTGTGGTATAATGAGGCTGATTCGAGAACCAGGAGAAAAGGAGACCCAGAGGCCAACAGTAGGGGAGAGCGAGAGTGGGGAGTCCTGCCCCGTGGCAGGCATCCAGAGCCGAGATTCCCAGGCGCCGGTCAGTGCCCTCCGGCTCCTGCTGATCGCATCCTTTCCCCTCTCCTGACTGTTTGCAACCCTCCCCAGCCCCGCACTCCTTCCTCCCCACCCAGGACAGAGGCAGGGGGCATCCATCACTGTTCCCCTTGCCACAGTCTCCTGCATCCTGCCTGTCACCCGTTCTGTCGCCACTCTGTCTTCCACTTCTTCACCCTTTCTTTCCCACCCCCATCCCTTTGTATCCCAGAGGCTGATCTCTCTCCTCTGCTGTCAGATCTGCCTGTGGCCAGCAGGGTCTCCAGTCACGCATTTATAATGAGGGCCTCCCAGGTGAAAGCAGTGTCAGCTCTGGCAAGGGCCTCCGCTGCTTCCTCTCCACTCTTTATTCTTGCTTCTTCCTCTATGCAGACAGCAGCCCTTCACTGCAGATTCTGGAGCTGGGTCCAGGGTCAGGCAGCCCCCGCATGCTTCCCTGTTGCCTGAGAGCATCCTTTCTCCTTTGAACGCACCCGGGTCCTACCACCCATCAAACGAGCCATCCAACCTGTTCATCTGTCTCCTCTGCTTGCAGTGGAATGACACCATCCTGTTGCTGGTTAACATTTCATTGTTTCCACTGAGAGCCTTTGCAAAACTCACAGAACCATGTGACTCTATCAAAATTGCAAAGACCAAAGTGGGACGAAGTTAAAGCAAGTGTCAAAGCACAGGTATGGCGGTTTAGTCAGGGGTGTTTCGAATGATCCCCAAGGTGTTGGTTTGTCCCCCCCAGTCTGTGGCTGGAGGGTCGCTGAGTCTCCCACGGAAAGTGTGTGACTCAGCCAGGCTCAGGGCAAAGCTCACTAAACACAGGTTAATTGATTTATTGACTTATTCATTCTGTCTTTGACAAACATTTATTTACTGCCTACAGAGAACTCCCAAGTGCGCTTTTACTTCTCTGCCCAAACTACACTGACATTGAAGGAAAGGCGCCCAGCGCCCCACAGGGGACTTGGACAGAGGGAAGCAGCCTGAGAACAGCCCCGGCCTCAGGGCTCACTGCCCCCTGCAACAGCCCAGCTCAGCACGCTGGGAGCGAGCGCCTAAAGCTCACTTGCTATGTGCTGTTTGCTCAGCAATCACCTTCCGGGAGCAGCCTTCTGTTGGTGAGAACTCGGCCCGAAAATGTCAACAGAAGGCCCTGGCTGACTCTCCAGAAGCACAGGGCTGCTGATGCCCTCACCGCACACCCAGAGCTTCCTGTTCTTACCTTAGCAGTTCCGCGGCACCGGGCATCCTAGCTGGCCGCTCCTCCCTAGGCCGCTGTCAGGGCTGGAGCTCCCTGCCGGGCCTTCCCCGAGGAAGGCGTTTCTAGATGTAGCCTTGTTGCTTCGGGCTGCCTCTCCACCTGTGGCGCTGCCTGGGTTGAAGCCAGAGGCATGTGGGAGTGGACAAGAGGACTCTGATGCCACAGGGTGGCTACTGAGACAAAGTAAGAGACTAACGTAACTATTTACTGACAACAGAAATGCAATTGTATCTTTGGTTCAGGTTTAAAGGCCTAGTCAATGATTAAGTATTTTTTATTATTTACCTGGTAAAAATTCCCTAACATAGAGAAACAGAGAGAGAGAGTGAGGAGGCTTGAAGTTTCCCTTGAATTTTAGGCTCTGTTCAGTGTTTTTGTGGGATGTGATACATCTGAAGTTTCTGGTTTCTGAGCTGGGTTCAGAGCAGGGAAATCAGTTGGAGGCCCAAGTCTTGCAGACCTTGGCCTGTAAGAGAGTCTGCTGGAGCAGAAAGTTTGGAGCCAGAGGGAGGCTGCAGCCCAACGAGGTAATTCTCCCAGCCTCCAGATGACAAAGGTTGCATTTACACCTGGCCAGGAGGTTTAATCATCTACCATTTCCAAACACAGCAGGCTAACAACCGGCTGGCCTGAAAAATCATAAAAAAAAAAATCACCAACAAGAGACAGTAGGAGGGGAAGGAGGAAAGAAGTGGGTCCGTGTCTTTGCTCCAGAGGGCCCTGCATGGGGGTCTCTGGGTGGGGGACCCACGGTCAGGGAGCCCTGCGGTGGGGGCTTGGTAAAAGCCCAGGGTGAGAGGCTGAGCCAGGGTTCCCAAGGCAAGTGGGAGCAGCCCAGGTGCCGTGAACCCCGTGAGAATTGGACACCTGTGGTGGCGGGCTATCTTTCTGACCGTGGCGGTGGTGAAAGAAGTCTCTGCTGTAAACACCTTCCCTTGGGGGCTTGCAGTGGGGCCTGAGCCCTTTGCTGGCTTCCTGTCATTGCCTTCTTGTTAGAGGAGGCCGCACTGTCTTTTGGTCTCTGGATCAGGTCATCTGGCGTAGGGTTGCACGCTCTACCCTTGCATTGGACGGCATGGGCAAACTCAGCTCCATCGCTCACTTGTGGCTTTGGGTAAATGTCTTCAGCTCGCTAAGCCTCAGTCTCACCACCTATAGGATGTGGATGGTAACGGTCCTTACCTCATAGAGTGTTGTCAGGGTGAAGTTCATTAAAGTGTTGTTTCATGGGAAAATGTGGTTCAGGCGTAACAATGGCCAACTTTAGCTGTAAGTTGACGGGGACCGACCTCAATGAGTGTGAACCAAAGGGTGATGATTTGTAGGTGGGAGAGACTCGGAGGTGCTGGTGTCCACAGGGCAGCAGTTATGTGTTAAGTTTTTATCAGTTACTTTGAAAACCCTGAGGGCCATAGATCCCCACTGATGAATAGGATCTTCATAATAACATTTTTATTGCAGAAGAAAGATCAATCTTAGTCATTAGCAATAAATATTACTGAATGTCTGCTGTATACATGACATTCTGGGCAGTTCAGGGGACACAGCAGAATTGGACCCAGGCCCTCCTCCCTCAATAAACTTACCATCTTGATAGGGGACAAGACATACCTGTGACTAGATAACTAACAATTCAAGATAACATATGTCAAATGCCAAATGTGTTGTACTGTAGAGTAAATATATTGTGTCTTATCTTCTACTTACTCTGTGAAGACAAAAAGTGCATCTGTCTTGCTCATCACGTTATTTCCCCAGCCCACGTCTGCAGTGTAGCTAAGACTGAATATTTACTATGGCTCCGACAATGTTCTAAGCCCTTTCTAGGTATTAAGTCCTTTAAGCTTATAATAAAACCCAGTGGAGTTACTATCGACAACCCCGTTTTCTAGATGAGGAATGTGAGCCCAAATAAATAAAAAAATTCACTCGAAGTCACATGAGTCCACTCATTGCCCTAGGCACACACCGCTGCCCTCTCTCTCTCTCTGCCTGGTGCTGCGCCTGGCATGAAGGATGGGAAAGTGTGTTTATGGAGCAGCCGCCAGCGTTCCAGACATCCCACTAGACACATCATCTTCACACAACACCCTTGAGAGGGGTACTGGGATTTCATGTCAAGGAGGAAGGGGCTCAGAGAGGCCAAGGACATAGCTGAGTTGCTGGCTGGCAAGGGGAACTGCCTGAATCTATTTGAGTACTAAGGGACTGACCTGGACTGGGACACATGGCTGGCATTCAGAGGACTGGGTGGTGAAGGAAGTATTTTCCAAAAAGGAGTGTGTCCACTGGATTCTGAAGGAGCCAGATTCAGATAAGCAGAGAATGTGTGAGAGAGGGCTGGAAATGGGTTGGGCAGGCTACACAGAAGCCTTGTGGTGGGCTGTACCAACAAGCTTGCTGGAGCAAATGATAGGTGCCAGCAGAGAATGGCTGGGACAGTAGATCGGGGAAAGATTATAAAAGGCCTTGAGAACTAGGCAAAGGAGGTGAGACCTTGAAGGAACAGACTACAAAAATAAGCTGGCCATGTCTGAGTGCTTTGTGTTTCTGGGTCTCTAGCTGGGGTCCAAACATTTGATAAGTCTGGCATGCCCTTTAATTTCTTCTAGCTAAAGTCATATTGAATTACATAACATCTTTAAGCAAGGCCACTGGAAAATTACACAAAATGCTGGCTTCAAATGGCATGGGAAAATTTAACAGCCTTGTGGAAAAATGCCAGTCTCCCTCCCTCCCTCTCTTCTTTTTGTACTTTTGAGTCTGTTGACGCTCTGAAGTTGTACTGCCTCTCCTGGAGGAAATGGAGGAGCAAGGAACCCCAAGATGTGGACCTGTAGGGTGATGCGAGAGCTCTATGCTGCTGGCAATTCTTCATTCCAGGGCCAGGTGCCCTCGGGGTCCAGACCCGGCTCTAGGTCGTTTCGCTGTAAGCATCTTCACTGCAAGCATTTAGAAACATAACTTATTGGTGGCAAGGCAATTTTGCCATAAAAGGCAAAAAAAGTAACTGGTTGACAGTTTGGTTTCATTTCTCCTTTGATACAGTCCTCCCATTTTTATATTACATAAATCTTAGTCCTCATCATGGTCTATACAGTGGTACAGAGTTTTGAAACCACATTTCCCATAGAACTTTGGAACATGTATCAACGGACACGTGACAATATGCCAAGAACAACAGTGTAGAAGGCCATTCCACAGTGCAGTACCAATGCTCAGTTACAAATAGGCATCTGAGTATTTACAGACTGATATGTCTCTGAATGAAGAAATGTAGTAGAAAATGAAAGGGTGCAATGTTGAACGAGGAGATGAATCAACACGCAAAAAAAAAAAGTGCAAGTGTATGAATGAAAGACTTTGAAGACAAGTGCTCAGGGACAAGCCACTCAGTAAATCAATTGCTTAAGCCGTATTGCCATGAATCTACCCACATTTTAAAGGTATTCAGATATTTTGTATTTTGCAATGGAGTCCTTTTCATTTTGCCATACATTTTTCATGTTTCATTATCTCCTTTGGAATGAATGTCCCTCTTTTCTTTTTTGTGATTTTTATCTTTAAGGACAAAATGGCCTTATGACCAGTTAGTTATGCCATGAAAATGTTTGTGGCAAAAATGCTTACAGTGAAAATACTGGTCATGTCCAAGACCTACAACTCTCTGTTCCATGGCCACTGCTTTGGGTTTCTAACCATGTGTGTGACACTGTTGGTTTTCCCACCTGTGGAAAAGGGGATCCTAACAGTTCTGTTCCCAGTGCTCATGTGAGCCTGATGTGAATAAGGCGGTGTTTGCGGAAGGCTGGCCGGGACCCAGATGGCACATGAGCACGTTGAGCCATGATTCTGGTAGGACCCAGATGGGGGTGGTGTTCCTCTATCTGCTCTGTTATAGAGGCAGAGTCTCATTCAACACCCAGACCCCTTTTTTTGTCATAACAAAGCCGGAACTGGGGATGGAGGTGGGCTGGGGATGGTGGTGCGACAGAGGAAATAAAGACACCCAGACTGTTACCTGCTTTTTCTTGTCATTTCTTATTTTGTTTGCTGTGTTTTCTGGATATTTGGAAAGTTTAAAAAATTTATGTGACTTCGGTATCTTATAACCTACACTATGAAATGTGTACAACCTTTGCCAACATTGAAAGTGGGCCACAAAGCACTGCTGTAGGTCTCTGATTTAGTGTACAATGCTTTGCTTTTTTTTTTTTTTCATTCGTTTTTGGAGACACAGTTTTTTAGGAGAAAAGGCAAAAAACTCCTTAGACCAAAAAATATTTGTTGAAAGGTCCCTTGCAGCTGTTGTAGCATCTCTCATTTGTTCTAAGCCTCAGGAAAGTGAAATCTGAAGTGTACATGGTGCTCATCATGGGTCATGTGGAGCTTAGATCGGAGATGTTGTAGCATCTCTCATTTGTTCTAAGCCTCAGGAAAGTGAAATCTGAAGTGTACATGGTGCTCATCATGGGTCATGTGGAGCTTAGATCGGAGAAGCAGACTCCTCTGAAAATATGTTTGGGATTTTCTGCAAAACTCCACATATTTTCCAAATGGATATTTGGAAACCTTTGATTAGGCAAGCCAGCCCTCTTGTTTTCCTGTCCTCTGTCAAGATTCAAACTCAGTTGGCTACCCACTGATATGAATCTGTAAATAGACTAAATCCTCCCTTTGAACACACTGGTCCCTAACTTGCTATCTTATGAAAATGTTTGGGAGATGACAACATCAGAGGGCTCAGCAGACTGGAGTGTCTGCCCTTTGCTAAGGAGACCTGGGAGGCTAGAGGTGTCTTGGCAAGGAAAGGGGACCCCAGGGTATTAGAGACCTCAAAGTAGGCCTGCAGAGGATCTACGCTCCCTTGGCCCTTCCTGCCGTCATGTATGAGTGTGAGGCGTGGTGTGGTGTGTGCTGTGGATTTGTAATGTAGTGTGTGCGTGCGGAGCGTGTGTTGGTAATGACAGATCCGCAGAGATCAGTATTTCCATTTAGCCTTGTTTCTTGTGGTAAGAGGGAGAAATGTGGAGAAAAAAACTTTTTAATTGAAATATAACTGACATACCCCATTAAATTAGTGTCAGGTGTACAACATAATGATTTTAAATTTGTATGTATTGCAAAATAATCACCACAGTAAGTCTAGTTAACATCTGTCACCATACATAGTCACAAATTTTTTTTTCTTGTGATAAAAACTTTTAAGGTCAACTCTCTTAGCAACTTTCAGGTACACAACAGCATTATTAACTCCAGTCACCATGCTGTACATTTTATCCCATGACTTATTTTTTAGAATATTATTTTACTTGTCACATTACTAAAGCCCAATTTTTCACTCTGCTCCCTTCCCTCACTTTCCAGTGTTCCATATTTTCTCTCATTTCTTTATTTCATTTTTTTCTTTAAATGGATCCTTTCTGCTCCTATCTTCTTTAATTTTTCTCTCATCATCTCCTCTTTCTCTATTTCCTAATTTTTATTTTTTTCCCTGTTTCTCCTAATACTACTATTAAATTTCCTCCTTTCTATCCCTTTCTCTCTTGTTACTCTCCCTGGGAGCTGTAAGTTAGAGAACTTGAACTTGACCCAGAGCACAGCCAGAAGTACCGTTAAACTCTATGTTGCGTTTCTTTAAAATAAAGCCGGCCGCATGAGAGTCGTGTGGAATTCTTTGTAGTACATGTGCCCAGGTCTCTGCTTTTGTTCTGAATTCTGATTTAACATTGTGATTTTAATAGCTGTTTATCAAATAGAGGTGGCTGTCTTTCTAATTGTCAGTAAATTGGCAAGGAGCAAAGAACCAAAAGGGTGCCAGAGAGTTGGTCAGGAGGTTGTGCTGGAGAAGTAGATGAGCAGTTGTTTGCCTTCCACAATTCAGGCTGACTTGCATACTCTTTCTGTGGCAATTACAGTAGGGATCCCCAGAATCTCTAAATTGGAAGTAAAGCTTTAGAAGTAATTTGTAAAAGATGTCTGAGCTGCAGAAAACTGGTAAAATAACCAGGCTGGAAGTATGGGAGTGTGGAGAGAAGAGCAGACTAACCTAAGAAATTTGTGAACATTTTTTCCATATGCAAACTTCAGCACCTCTGAACTCAATCTCTGTTTCCTATCTGCCTCTACACTGTAGAGCTGGGGCTTTAGCATAGTTAGGGCTCTGGGGTGAGCCTAACTACGCTAAAGTGAGTTTGAATTCCAGCAAAACAACCTCTTAAAGGCTCAGTTACTCAATTGAAAATAGGTAAAAAAGGACTTGTTAATCTAGATAATCCCAGGAAAACACTTGGCACCATGTATGATGCTAATAAGTGCTCAGGTTATTATTAATATTATTACCCACTATTGATGGAGTCCTGAGTCTCAAAGTGAGTTAATGGAGAACTCTATGTGCACATATTCCTCCCTCCTACAGGGAGAGTCAGAGAAACTCCAACCACATACTAGCACAAAGAGACTGCCCAGCAACCCGGGCCTCTCTTAACTTTGCTCACTTCATGGTAAGTCAGGAACTATTTTGAAGGATGGTGAGAAAAGGTCCTTTACTGTTGTGACAGACATTTCCTCCTCGTGTCAGTTATCTATGCTGTGTAACAAATCAACCCCAAATGGCCTAAAACGGTAATCATTTTTATTTATTCATGACTGTGGGTCAGCAATTTGGGTTGGGCTGAGCTGGGCAGTTCTCCTGGTCCTGCGTGGATCCACGGGTGAATCAGCAGGGATGAGGGGACCTCACAAGGCTTTACTCACATGTATGGCAGCTGTTGCTGGCTGAGGGCTTGGCCTCTCTCTTCATGTGTTCTCTTGTCCTTGAGGAGGCTAGTCTGGCCTCTGCATAAGGTAGCAGCATTCCAAGGAAGCAAGAGCAGAAGCTGCAAGGCCTCTTGAAATCCTAGAGTCAAATAGTGCACTTTTGCCACAATCTACTGAAGTCCTCTTCAGATTCAAAATGTGGGAAAATCGCCTCTACCTCTTGATGGGACACACAACAAATTCCTACTGCATACAGGGATAGGACAATTACTGTGTCTGCTTTTGGAGATAATCTACCGAAGTCCACCTCTGGCTGTGATCAATGTCATCCCTTCTCCATAAGAAACACTCATGCCCAAAAGCCTCATCCCATTAGGGCATCAGGCTTGAAGCCTAGGATATAGTCATTAAAATTAGACCTAGGTCTGGGTGAGGCTCCTCTAGGACATCGTAAAAAGTGTCGCAGAATGTTTAGGGAAGAAATGTGCAGAGAACTTGTATTTTTAGTTTATGGGGATCTGTACCATTCTTCCCCTAAACATACTATGGTGAGACCAGACAATCACTGCAGGCATTTCCATTCAAAAAGGGGGGGAATTAGAGACACATAGCAGTTATTGGTTCGTGACAATTCTGAAATTCCACTGGCGACATATTTTAAAATTTCTTCTACTCCAAGGGCAGTGAATTTTACTGATTAGGAACCAGTTTTGCTTCTTGGGTGTAGTTCCCTAGATCACTGTTCTCCTTGACTCTTGGTTCTGCCCTCTGGATTCTTCGCTTGTATTGTTGCCTCTCAGAGCTTATTTCCTTTCCCCTGAGAATTGCTCTGGTTTTTAGCTGAATAGCTTTCTCAGTTTGTTTCCTGTCCATAGAGAGTTGGGGACCCAGAGGCCTTTTTTCCCTTTTGAACTGACTCTGTCTCTTTAGTTTAATATAGTATGACTCTGTTAGAAATGGTGTGGATTTCTAGTATATCAGATTATAGTCCACTCCAGTATATAGACCTCTCTTTACCTTGGGAAGTGAGTCAGCAGCTATAGGGGCATGCTTTTAAGATTTGGAGAACTCTTTTATCCTGAGAGTTATCTACTAAGTTTTCTGAGGAATTAACAGATGATTTTTAAGACACGCCTTTTGTTTCATCTTTCCCATATTTTTACTTTTTCTTACTCTGAGACTCTTTTGCCAACTCTGAGACCTGGAGATGAAAATGATTTTATTTTTCAATCAAACACATACTGGACCTTCTATATTCCCTTTGAATTCTGCTTGCAAGCTGAGTAGGTCCTACTTGAGCTTAGCTCTTTTTCTCTAAGACAGAATCTCCTTACCCAGATCCACAGTTCATTAGGTACACTTCTGTCTTCCAAGTTATTGCAGGCAACATTTAGCCAATTTTTCTTTCAGTACATAAAATGGATTGCCTTTTTTCCAGTCTCCTATACTAGTTTCCTCACTGCATTTCTAGTACAGTCAGTTGACTAACAATTTCCTTATTGCTGTACAGTTTCTGCCTTCCACCTGGTCCTGAAGCTAATGCCACTCCCACTGGTCCTGAAGCCAATGCCACTTGTTTTAGGTTATTTATGGCAGCATCCCCCTCCTACTGCCAACAGTATCAGTTGTTTATTGCTGCATAAGTAACCTCCCCCAAATGTCATGGCTTTAAATGATAACCATCTATTTGCTCACAATTCTGTGGGTCAACAATTTGGTCTGGGCTCAGCTAGGCAGTTCATCTATTGGGGTCACCTGGGGTCACTCATATGGCAGGTAGTCTGGGACTGGCTGATCTAATGGACTTATTCACATGCCTGGGACTGGTGTTGGCCAGCACCTGGGCCTTCTCTCCACATGGTCTCTCATTCTCAAGAGGCTAGCCCAGGCTTCTTCAGAGGGATAGCATCATAAGGAGGCAAGAGTGGAAGCTGTAAGGTATCCCCAGGCCTATGCTCAGAAGTCATACAATGTCATTTCTGCTACTTTCTATTGGCTAACGCAAATCACAAGGCTGGCCCAGATTCAAAAGGTAGGGAAATACACTTCACTTCTCAATAGGAAGATTATCAAAGTTATATTTCAAAGTGGTGTATGAACAGGTAGAGAGGAATCACCTCAGCCAGTTTTGCAATCTACAGCAGCTGTAATTTTGAACATAATGTTCAAAGCTCATCTTTCCACCTCACAATTTTATATATCACATAAAATATTATTACTCCTTATATTCATTAGCTTTTGCACTATTATCTGAGTTTCTTCTACCTAACCTCCAATTCAATTCCTCATTGGTTGCCTAAGCTACAAGTAGTCAAACATTAACTTAAAGCCAAAATCCCTTTGTGTCTCCCCACCACACACCTTTCTCACGAAAAGCCAATAAAAAGATGAGGCCTGGCTGTAGCCAATTCTTTCAGGTATTCCTGCCTATTTTTCATAAGAATTTATACACACAGCCACTATTTAACTTCCTGAGCATTATAGTTTACTCCAATATCTTAGCCATTTCCAGCATCCTGGGAATAAAGGTGAGAGGAGGTAGGAATTATCCTGACATAACATCCAGTCTGTGACAAAGCTGGAAAGAAAATCTGGCATTCCTTATTCCCCACTGCTGTTCCTATTCAAATTGGAATGTGGATAAAATTTATTCAAATGTTGCTTCAACATTTCATGGCTATCCTGCTAATTACAAAGTTGCTCAGTCAACCACATGTCAGTGAAGCTGGTTTACACTTTATTATGAAATGTGTAGCCACACAAATGTGAAGCCATTTGCTGAAGGTGTAAAAAAAATAAATTAGCTAGGATGATTAAAAATATAAGGAAATCCTCCTTCATAAAGATTAAATGATTTCAAATCTTTAGAAGCAACCAGAAATCAACTGGGAAATGTGGAGCTTTACATGGGAATGGTGAAAAAGTCTCATTTGACTAGATATTAAGCAATTTTTCTCCAAGAGAAGAACAAAAAACCCCCAAAACACATTCTAGCCAAAACAGCCTCAATAATGCTGAGTTTTTTTCTGCACCTTCACTGTCCTTGGTCCACATTCCCAGCTGCTTTTTGTGATCCAAATGTCTGTTTACTTCCAGAAGAAATATGCCAAAGGAAACACTGAAGGGCACCTCTTTCAACATTGACCTTCACAAACATTTTGGCTCATTGAATTCAGCTTCTCTTTATTAAGAACGGACTGACACCCACACTCTGCGAGCAGCTGTGGAGGCGGCAACAGCAGTCACGAAGAGGCCTTGTGGACTGCTCGTATGAGCGCAACTACACGCAGCCCAGCAGAGCAAAGCAACTTGCGTCTCCACAGGTGTGAATTAGCCCCTAACATTCGCTGGGCAGCTGTACTGTGGGTACCAGGTGACCCAGTGTCGCGGTTGAAGTCTGGATCTGTGAGCCTGACCGCCTGGGTTTGAATCTGGGATCTCAATTTACTAGCTGTGAAATGCAGGGCAAGTTGCTTAACCTCTCGGCGTCTTAGCTCCTTCATCTGTAAAATGAGTAACAGTACCTCCCTCTTTGGGTTATTGTGAGCATTAATGATTAGAAGCGTCCCTGGTACTCATAAATGCTGTAGGTATTCAGAAGATTAGTTAAGAATGAGAGGAAATTTAAAAACCTCTTTGACAGATCTGTGCACACAAAGGGAACATTAATATATTAAGATATCCAATCAGTGTGAAGAGGTGTTGTGGAGAGGGGCTTTATTGCGTAGTGAGTTCCTTGCTGAGAAAAACTCCTGTTTCCTGGGGTGTAAGATGAGACCATATAATTATTAGAATAACAATAAAACAGTGTGTATAACATACTATTTTAGGGCCCTTGTTGAGGAGAGAGCCTGGATTATTCTTTTTTTCCTCAGGCATGCCCATCTCCCATGGGAGAGTATCATTTAGTGTTGAAGCGTATGGGATTTGGAGTGAGATACATCCGTGTCATCACCCAAGCCTGGTGGCCTTTTACAGGACTCAGTCTCCTCATCTGTAAAATGGATGTGAGGTTTTACTGTGAGAATTAGAAAAGACAAACTAGTGAAGCATTTAACACTTGGCTCAATAAAATGTATTATTATTATTATTATTAACTGTTATTATTATTAACAATGTTTCCCCTAATGGCAGATCATGTCATCCAGACCGAGGCTCTGTGAAAGTGGAGACTTTATCTTGCTCCTCTTACAGGCCCCTACAAAGGTCATGTGTGATAATCAGCAAGTGATAGTTGTTGATAATATAATGATGATTGATGCTAGAAATTCTGAAACTTTTTTGGAGGACCAAAGAACATGAAAAATCCTGGCCTGGAACATCCTAGGAGTTATACTCTGAGGCCAAAAGGGAAGTGGAGAAATGGGGAAAGACCGTGCTTTCCACGTTCAAAAAGATTTTTTGGTCAAGAGCCCCATTCTTGATCAAAGGACACTATTTATTACCTGATTCATGTTACTGTTGAAATATTGGCTCTGTGATATTATATTTAAACTTAGTTTTTTCAATATCTCATTTTCTAGCTTTACATGAACAATAACTAATGTTAATAAATTAACTCATTTAAAAAAAAGCCCCATTCTTGGCTTTGCCACTGAGTTTCTGGGAAAATCATCTTCCTTTTCTAGGGTCCTGGTTTCCTCATTTAAAAATTGTAAGGTTGTTGCGAAGGTCTTTTTTACCTCTGAGATGCTTGGGGAAGGTCCCAGATGGAACTGGTTCCAGCCAGGTCATCCACTACTCAATCCTGGAAAGGAAACCAAACAGCCAAGATGAGGAATTTCCTTTCAACAAATATCTTGTAATTATGCTGATTTTAAAGCCACATAATCAGTCTAAAAGCAAATCCTATCTCAACAGAATTTATAAAAGGATTAGGAAATGAAGAAAATAGGGTCATGTTAGCAAGCCCATTTGATTTAATATAAGCCCATTTCCCTTCAATCTTTTTTCCTTTTCTAACTGAATAGGGTGGAGAGCACAATTCACTGGCTTCCATTCCTGTATTTAATCTTTTGTGTTTCTGACTGGCTAGTATCTGACCTACTTTTAAGGGGCTCATCCCTTCAGTCAAGATACTGAAGGATTGTGAATGAAGAATCTCTTTGGCTGTGGCTTGTGTTGTTGATACCTGAACAAGAAAAACCTAGTTTAGGAAAAGACACAGGGACTCCTTTAGTCTCAATCTGGAAAGAAGATGCAAGTCACTTTAACTCAAAGCTATAGCTGTGGGCTTGGGATCTAAAGCCATAGTTTGGTTTCCTGTCTTGTATTTTTGTAGATTACTGCATGTTTTAAATAATTGAGCTATGTCCAATGAAAACCTACTCAATCTGATTAGCATTGAGTTCGTATGACTTCAGTTGACTTTGGTCACTGGGATTGAGTAGATTAAATATATTAACCAGTGCTACTGTCAGTTTATCCAATGTTAGCCATATTCACATCTCCTCCCTGAGATTTGGCCAAACTCTGAGTCTACTTGTTCTATACAAAAATAAGGCACCTGGAAGGGACAACGTCTAGTTTTTCATCTTGGACTTTTGGCTTTAACCTTGAAGAAGGCAAGAAGACAGGAAGTTAATTAGTTTTAAAACGGTACAGACTTGTGTAGTTCTTCAAGGTGTTCAAGTGCCTCACACGCATGAAACAAATGTTTACTTGTACTGATTCTCTGAGGTAGGTCTTGTTAGCATACTTTTTTCTCAGTAACTTATTTGTGTATATGTCACAGTTTTCAAGCTGCACTTTTAATTCTCTCAGCAAATTAGTAATTTTGGTGGTATAGTCATGATTTTAAAATGAGCAAACGGAGATTTGAAGTTTGATCAGCTTCCCCACAATTTGTTGCTGTGTGGCTCCAGTCCACTGTGGACTTCACCTCTGAATCCCGGCTTGCAGCCTAACGGTGAGGTGTTCTGACTCCACGTGATACCAGGTCATCTGTAGATCAGCTCCTGAGCCTCAGAACCGCAACTCCACTCTACTGTAAATCTACTGATGCTCCCATCAAAGTGCTTCCTTTATAATATCGCAATTGCATGCTGGTCTGCCAGCCTCTCCTCTGTGAATTTAGGGCAAGAAAAGTCTTCATCTTCCTTTCTCTAATGCCCAGAATAGAATCTCATACATACGGGAACTTGATAAATGTCAAGAAACAACCAAATGAATTCACCACACTAGGTGGATTCTAAAACTTATGAAATATTTCACAGCTACTATAATTTTTGCATTTAAATGTTTTAGTGTAATATTTTGACTATTCCTGATAAGGAGAATAAAAAGGTTTTATGTATGAACCTATTCGTTTTTCCTTAGACAAATGTCATCCACTCAGACTGATCTAAGTCTTGGCATCTTATCAATCAACAAATATTTGAGCATCTACTATGTACAAGACACTGTGCTAGGCACTGTAGGGACCAAAGAACTCTTAAGAGGTAAGCCCTTCTCCCAAGGAATTTATAAGTTTGTGAGAAGACTGGCTTTTCTTGGTCCACTCCAATGTCTTTCCATGCAGTTTATAGTGCAGATAACAGTTGCAGGGGCAAGAAGGAGCATGACAGAGTGAGCATGAAGATGTTTTTCAGAAAGCCATCTGATGGTCCATTTAGGGTCTTGTGTTTCAAGGCCCTCAGTTATGGCTGGTTGGGGAGATGAGCATATCCTTCAGAAGTTAATTCTCCAGATAAGTAAGAGGGACACTGCAGATGCTACATGTTACAAAATGCAGGAGAAAGGGAAGTGTGAGGGAATAGTAACCCTTTCATCTTCAAGGTAAGAGAAAATATTTCATGGGTCCAGGACAAACAAGCCATAAATTTCAGGCTTGAGCCCCACCAGAGCAGCTTCCTAAATATGGCCCAAATCAAGGCTGTCAGGACTGAGTCACCCTCAAGTCACACAACACTTAGAAGGAGCAGTGTTTCCTATAGCCAGTGTTAGCCCTAAAGTTCCCCTGGCCTGACGCTCTCTTCTGAGTCCAGCTTAAACTCTTAAGGTTTCCAGTATCAGAAAGGGGCAAAGAGGTAGAAAACCAATGGTGACAGCCAAGAGCATCTTACACACTACGGGGGTGAGCGGGGTCTTTCTGGGGCCAGAACTTGTTAGTTGTAAAATTCTGAGAGCCAGGCAGAGAGAAGGAACAGATTTCTTTGGGGTTCTGTTGTTTATACTTAAGCGTTTGGTCTTAGAAGACCAAAACAGGCCTGTAAAGTCTTTGTCATTAGAGATTACAAAGAGAATTACTTTGGTGTAGCCAGACACATCATCTGTTTTCTTTTTAATGTCTTAACTTTTCTATTCTGACAATATCAGAAGTTATGTATACAGTTTTGTGGGCTCAGACCCTATACATATTTTATGCGATGAAGTCTAACATTTATTAAGTACTTGCTAGTGCCAAGAACTGTTCTAAATGTAACAACCCTGTGTGGTGGGTACTCTTATTGCCATCTGCATTTTGCAGATGAGAAAATGAGACACAGAGAAACTGAGTATAGGCAGTAAGTGGTAAAATACAATTTGAACCCAGGGTACATATCTCCAAAATCTGTCCACATAACCACTAAGTTCTAGTGACTTTTCATAGTGGATAAGACATGTTCATATGCATAAGAAAGGAACCAGGTGGTAGAAAATCTATTCCGAAGGTATCCTTGGAGACTTAAGATTCTGAAGGCTCAAAGTTAAAATGGATTTGTAGGCGGCTTCTTATCCTGCCTGTCACAGGCCAAGTCAGAGGGTAGAGGGCAGCCTGCTCCTCCAGTCTCACATCCCAGATATAATCTGCCTGACATGCTCATGGGGAAATGGAGCCTGCCTCAAATGCACCAAAGGTACACCGGGCGTTCTTTCGGGTAGTGGGGAGTAGCGGCAACTACGGTGTCAAACACTTGGGAATGAAATAAGTCAGCTTTGGTGGATAGGAACTATGGAATTCTGTCAGCAGCTAAAAGTAAGAACTTTGATGTAGATGCAACCAACGTGTATTTAAAAACATAGTGTTGATTGAAACAGTAACAAACAGAACAAGGTTTCTAGACACTCTGCAAAACAGCACAATATACCTTACAAAGACTGTATTCTTGGAAGCCTAGGAAGGGGAAAGGACTGGGAATGAGAAGCTAAAAAAAAATTTAAAAAAGGAGAGGAGGAAAACAAAGTCCAGAAATGACATGGTCCACATTGGAAATGTGGATGATCAGTTGTTAAATGCCATGTCATTCATTCATGTAGCAAACACAGTATTCACCACTAAGGGAATAAGAGGCAGGTGGTAGAGGGGAAATGCAAAGGCTCTGAGATCAGGCAGAGTGGTGTT